ACAGTAAGGGAGGGGGGGCAAGGGAGACGAAAAGCCAACACGAGACAACTCCGCACGGCACCGCAATGGGACGATACGAGTTGAAGGTTTTTTGGATGGTTTTCGGAAGGTTTTTGGAAGGTTTTTGGGAAAAAACGTCCTGAAACCTTCCTAAAACCTTCTTCAGGAAGGCTCCAGGATTCCTGGAACCTTCCAGAAAACCTTCCTAAAACCTTCCTCAGGGAGGTTTCAGGAGGGGTTGGCCGAACTGCCGCACCCAACTGGGCACCGCAGCGGGACGAGACGAAGAGCCAACACAATTTTTGATCCGCGGGTCGAGAGCGCACCTCTTCCGGTCGAAGCTGAGCGGGCCGCGCGAAGCTTGAATTAATCAGAGATGGGGGAGGAAAAGGGGGGCGCGAGGAGGAGGGGGAGGAGGAGGAGGAGGAGGAGGAGGAGGAGGAGGAGGAGGAGGCACCGCAGCGGGACGAGACGAGGAGCCAGCACGAGACCACACCGAACGGCAGCGCGGTGGGGCGAGACGAAGAGCCTGCCCGCGGGGCGCGCCCGTGGGCGCCCCCGGGGCGGCCTGGCCCGTGCGCTGGCCGGGCGTCACCAGAGACCCCGAGGGGCAATTAGACCTCGCCATCCCTGGAGGGCTGCGATAGTCGCCACTTTCGAGGGCTGCTGGGGGGGGGCGGGGGGCATTGTGAATACTCGCCGCAGGCTCAGATTGGACCTCACCATCCCTGGGGGGCTGCGATCTGCGAACCTGTCGCCATTAGCCCCGAATCATCAAGGGTAACTCGGGTCAGGGCTAAGTCGGGTTCGTTTTTCGGGATTTCGAACCCGGGTTCGTTTTTCGGGATTCCGAACCCGACTTACCCCGGACCCGACTTACCTTGGATGATTCAGGCGTCCAAAGCCCCAAATCATCAGGGGTATCTCGGGTCAGGGCTAACCCGGGTTGGTTTTTCGGGAATCCAAACCCGAATCACCTAGGACCCGAGTTACCCCGGATAGTTCGGGCGCCCAAGAATGGGGCCCTGTGGCACAGAGGTAAGGACACACAAACCACAGGATTCCCCATGTGTTCTCATATGTTATGTTTGTTTGTCTTCCCCCCCACGTCCCATGTTTTTTTCCCACATCTTCTGGGGCATCGACGATTCATTGTGTCTGTGTGTTTTCTTCCCTCCTGAAAGAAGACCCCGACCCACAACTCAGGCACGGTGGCGGGACGCACCGAAGACTGCTAGACAGTCACATCGCCCCGTTCGAAGGCACCTCCTGGGGTTCTTTCCTCCCCCTCTTCGTGGCCGTCGAAGCAGGGACCGTAGCATATGTAATGTCAAGTCCCGACCCAAAAAACCATACGTGGGTGATCTCATGCCTGTCCAAAGGTAAGAATATGGAATGTGCCACACCAGGGGTCCCGAAAGGCCCCGAGATGGCACCATCGCCGTTTCTCGACTGCTGTGGACGCCCGAACAAAATGCGGAAACAACAGGCACGATGCCCAAGAAGTAATGTTTGCCCAAATCGACACCGGCCGCTGTTGGGCAGGCGGCTTTCTCTCCCAAGTGGACAAGGCCCGCGGCGACGCCGAAAGCAAATCCAGATCAGAATGGAAAAGGAGTGCTCTCAACCTTCGTCCCCAATCCTTCCGCGCCACCGAACTCCGCCATCGCCGACTTGTCTCTATCCTATATATGTGTCTCTCTCTCTCTCTATCATCTCATCCTCTTCTTCCTCTTGTCTCTCTTGTCTCTCTGCCGAATCTTCTGCATCGTCCTATCTTTTTGTCTCTCTCCCCCCCTCTCTCACCGCCCGCTCCCCCCCTGCTCGAGGCACAAAACAGCGCCACGAGCACAACCCTTCGAAGGTCCGCGCGGATGTTTCTTGCACCTGCGCCGAGCCCCCTGGCACGCTCCGCCGATGCGAGAAGTCCGCCAGGACCTCCGAAGGCTTATGGGACGCACGAGAACGCACAACCACTGCTGTGTGTCCTCCTCGGAGGCGTGCGCCCGACCCAAACGGATCAAGATAACCATCTTGCAGCATAGCACTTCCCGAGCGGCACGGCCAGAAAGAACGCACAACAACTACTGCTGTGTGTCCTCCTTGGAGGCGTGCGCCCGACCAGCACATGTAAAGCTAGCCATCTTGCAGCCTGGCGCTTCCCGAGCGGCACGGCCAGACAGCGCCCGCCACGGAGCACACGCTGTGAGATGCCTCGGCGCGCGCGCGTCGCCCCCCTTTGGGCGCGCCGCACACACTCGCCATCGCTCGGACGTCCATTCCCTGTGTTGTTGTTCGGTCTCGTGCGTGCTTCTTTTCGCCAAATGCTTTTTGTCGCCAAATGCTCAAGGATGCTCCTCGATGGTCCTCGCCGAGGGAAAAAAGGCAAACGTACGAGCGATGCCAAGCACACGGTGTCAGCATGTCGGGATCACCGCCGAGTTTATGCTTGCGCCGATGTTTGGTCCTCGGCTTGCAGACCCGCCCCCGCGCCTGGAAGGGGCTGCCAGCCGCGAAGAACATCTCCCTCCCGCCGGCACCTGCGCAGGGCGCCCCCGCCCGCCCTTGCCGCACGGGCTGCTCCTCCTCCCGCCTCCCTCCTCCCTCCTCTTCCCCTCCAGATCCTCCCTCCTCCTCCTCCACCTCCTCCTCCTCCTCCTTCACCTCCTGATCCGCCTCCCTCCTCCTTCACCTCCTGATCCTCCCTCCTCCTCCCTCCTCCCTCCTCCTCCTCCTCCTCCTCCTCCTCCTCCTCCTCCTGCACCTCCTGATCCTCCCTCCTTCTTCCTCCTCCTCCTCCGCCCCCTGCTTCGACGACGATCTCCCTCCTCCCCCTCCCCCTCGGGGGCGTCCAGGAAGGGGGGGGCTCGCGCATTGTGGCCCGAGGCACGTGCGCGGCCCGCGAGGGGGCGCGCTGGAGTGAGAGGAGGGGCCGTGCAGGCCGAGGAGACACCGTGGCCTCGGCCATGCTGCTCCACTGCTCCTTCTCTCGTCCTTTCCTCGCCCCTCCTCGTCCTTACCGCCCGCCCTCCTCCTCCTCCTCCCTCCTGTCCTCCTCCTCGCACCTCCTGATCTCCCTCCTTCTGCCTCCTCCTCCTCCGCCGCCCCCTCCTCCGCCTCTCTCCTCCTCCTCATCCTCTCCTCCTCCTCCTCCCCTCGTCCTCCTCATCCTCCTCTACTCCTCTCGTCCCCCTGATCTCCTACTCTGCCTTCCTCCTCCTCCCCCTCCTCCTCCTCCTCCTCCTCTCTCCTCCTCCTCCTCCTCTCCCCTCCTCCTCCTCCTCCTCCTCCTCTCATCATCCTCCTCCTCCTCCTCCCCTCACCTCCTCCTCCTCCCCTCATCATCCTCATCCCTCCTCCTCCTCCCTCCTCCTCCTCCTCTACTCCTCCTCCTGTCCTTCACCTTCCTGATCATTCCTTCCTCCATCCGCCTCTCCTCCTCCTCTCTCCCCCTCCTCCGCTCCTCCTCCTCCTATTCCTCCTCTTCCTCCTTCTCCTCCTCCTCCTCCTCCTCCTCTTCCTGCCCCTCCTCCTCCACAGTTACACACTATGGATACGGCTCTCCTCTCTCCCATGATGACGTCCGGAAGATATTCGCCCCCCCTCCACGTACACACAAGATTCCCAGGACTTGGGTCTTCGCTCGGTTTGAATTTCAAAATGTTGATCCCGCTGCAGACCTGGCCTCATGTTCGGCCTTCCGCTTATTCCGAACCATGCTCCCGCTGCAGCGTCATTTCCGCGCTTCCGCTGGTTCCGAATAGTGCTCCCGCTGCAGCGCTGGCGGCACTTCCTGGATTTCACATGTGTTTTTTGCAATCCGATTCGGGGCTTCAGAATGTTGCTCCCGCGGCAGCGGTGGCCCCATTTCTGTGCCTCTGATTGTTACAAAACGTGCTCCCGCTGCAGCGCGGGAGTTTCTGGTCCTTCCAAGTCGGCCCCAAATCTAGAAAATTACCCTCAGAAGCAACATCGCAAGTGATCACACATCCGGCGTCGATTCGTTGAGTTCTTGGGCCGCAGACCCCAGGGGGGCGGCGGCGTTTGGAGGAAGTATCAAGCGGGAGCCCCGTTTCTGCGTGCAGAAGGCGATGTTGCAAGCAGAGCCAGCGGGTGCTCTCCATCAGCCCCAGGGAGCTAAACATGGAGCCCAGGGAGCTAAACATGGAGCCCAGGAAACTTGTCGCGGAGCCCAGGGAGCTAAACATGGAGCCGCGACTCCAAACCGGCCCCGACCCTTCGAAGACTATCCACTTACCCTCCAAGGAACCCGGTGCCCTGCCACGGCATGCTGTACGGTGTTCTGTTCTGCGCCGCTGTGCGATGCAATGATTTGCGTTGCAACGCTTTGTGATGCAATGCTTCACTACGCAATGCCACGCCATGCTATGACATTATACGCTCTGCCGTGCTCTTCTATGCCATGCCATGCCGTGCTCTAGGATGCACAACGCACCCTCTCGCGACCATTGCTCTGCTCGACCTCCGACTGTACGAAAGGAGCGAAGACCTACGCCATGGGAAGGAATGGGAGGGAGGGACAAGGGGTAGGACGTCAGCTATGGCGCGAGCGCCTCCTCCTCCTCCTCCGCCTCCTCCTCCTCCTCGTTCTCCTCCTCCGCCTCCGCCTCCTCCTCCTCCTCCTCCTCCTCGTTCTCCTCCTCCTCCTCCTCCTCGCTCTCCTCCTCCTCCTCCTCGCTCTCCTCCTCCTCCTCCTCCTCCGCCTCCTCCTCCTCCTCCGCCTCCGGATGCGCGTCTGCGTGCGCGTGCGCGTCCGCGTCGCTGTCCGCTCTCCGCTCTCCGCCTCCTCCTCCTCCTTCTCCTCCTCCTCCCTCCTCCCTCCTCTCCTCCCCCTCCTCCCCTCCCTCCTCCCTCCTCCTCTCCCCTCCTCCTCCTCCTCCTCTCCTCCTCCTCCTCCCTCCTCCTCCTCCTCTCCGCCCCTCCCTCCTCCCTCCTACCTCTCCCCTCCTCCCTCGGCAGCGCCCCCCCCCCCACCGAAACGCGCAATGAAAATCTCATCGCTGCCTCCGTCGGGGCAGGCGCGCCTGCAGTGGGACAGCAGAGAAGACGCTGCCGGCGTGACGGGCGAGCATGCCCCCGAGCGAGGCTGCCCGATCCGCCAGATCCACACCCCAACAGGACACCGTCCTCCTCCCCCTCCTCCTCCTCCTCCTCCTCCTCCTCCACGTACCCGGGCTCGCCCTCCAGGCCCCCAATCAAGTGATCTGGGCCGTACTGGTTGGTCCTATCAGGGTCCGTGCAAACGCCACGTGCGAAGCCGCTCTTGTCCCCCCGCATCGCAAAACCGGCCGAAAACGCAAGGGGCGGACCGGAGGACGGCGTCGAACCCGCGACGCCGATGACTTCTTCGGTTTCTTGGGCTTCCTGGCCCCAACTTCTCCACCAAATTGGCGTCCTTGCAGCGCGACGCCTGGTCGGGCGTCATTACCAGGTTGGCTCCGGGCAAGCCGCCATTCAAGCGGGGGGTGAAGGGCCGTCAGAAGTCCAGGTCGTGGTTGCATACGGAAATCCACTTCGTGACCTCCTTCTCCTCCTCCCCCTCCGTCGCCCACACGTGGAAGCTCCGCGTGGATCCTTAAGGGCTTGTCGACTATTCGCCAATCGACTTGTGGGGATCGAGCCAGAGAAATCCAGGTAGATGCAAATAAACCGACGTGAATCCAAGTACATCCAGGTAAACCCAAGTAGTAAATGCAGATCATTCCGGGCAGCTCCGAGGACATCCAGAGATGTACAAGGAAACATCGAACAATTCGCGGCCGCTCGAGCGCGAGTCGAAGGACGACAGAAGCCGTTAAGCCTTTTAACGAGTGGATATGGAGTAGAGCATCGGGTCCTGGACGCGGCCCGCGTAATTACGTTTGGAGCACGGCAGCCGGGGGGGGCCTCGCCCTGCTGCACGGCCGTACGGACTCGCTTGAACTTGGCCTCGCGAGCGAAACAACGCCACGCGCGGGAGACAATCGTGGCTTTTCCCCTCCGGATGTCCTTTGTGCGATTCCTGGTCTGGCGCAGCCTCCCTCGCCTCCGAAGCTCAGACTCAGACTCGGGTTGACCTCCATCGGGTGGCTGAGGAGATCATTGATGTACTCAAGCTGCTCGGCTCCTCCAACTGGTCGAAAAGGCTCCACCATCCAGCTGTGCATATCCCGTGCACTCATTCGTGCTGAAGGCCACGAAATCGTCATTCCCTTGGAGGTTCTGGTGGTGATCCGCCCTTGGCCCCTCGTTCACGGTGCCGATAAGGCTGTCCACTGCACCGACGAAGCTGTTGAAGGCACGCTTCTGGTCCCTCTGGCTGCCTCCATTGCCCCGATTGGGACACACTCCTTAGCACGATGACCAGTCTCCCCGCAGAGGAGACACGCATCCATGTTCTGGTTAGGGCTTGTCGCTGGATTATGTCAGGTCGCCGCTGCAGCTCCGCGAGACGCTCCGCGACCTTTGCCTCGACCAAGACCTCCGCCTCGACCAGGACCTCCGCCATCCCTGCCCTTGCCCTTCCTCGGTGGGCCTCCACGACTCACAACATGGCCGCGTTCGCCACCGCCTCCCGGCTGGGAAGGTAAGGCGTCGTAGGCTCCCAATCCGACCACTGGGAAGTAGCCCCTGGCGTTCTTTGATCAGCTTCCGCGCCTCCACGAAGCTTCGAGAGGCCGCATGCGCTGTCTCTCTTTGTTCACTCGTTGGTCGCATACTCGGAAGATCCTACGGCTGCCGCCCGCGCTTCTCCCGACTGCTCGGTGTCCTCCTGACAGTGTTGGTCCCCGAACGCGGCTGTTATGACATCTTCGGCGGCCGTCAACGCTGTCTCAGTCTCCGCCAAGCCAGCGGCCTCACCAAAACCGTCGTGGCACGCCTCGTCGTAGACCTCCTCAGCGTACGCCGCGATCTCGTCCGCCGGATCGTGATCCCCGACGAGAGCGTGGATCCCTTTACGAGACGTGTATCCTTTTTGCCTGTCAGGAGCGGCCAATTGATCCTCTGACCACTGCTCTGCCAACGCCTTCTCCACGTCCGTGTACACGTGGGAGTTGCCCTTGACCCCGGCCGGATGTGGCGAGCGCCACCGCCTGCTCCGACGGGCCCGGGCCAATGCCGTCCAGGAGAATGAACCACAATAGACTCACGCATGAAGCCCTCAGCGGCGATATGTTTGCACTCGGCGTGGAGGGCCTTACCAACCTTATTCAGCGTGCTGTCGAAGCGAGGAACCTATTTCTTTGACCCTTCACCTGAATGATGGTATACACCTCACACGGACTCCTCCATTTGGACACAGCCTCCTGCATCGTGACTGTGCCTCTGATCGCCTTCAGCACTGTGACGACACGTTCAGATCCGCCTTCCTGCACGAGATCCTCGGGAAAGATCTTCTTTGCTTCCTGCCACTGCTGTGTCCTCGTCCGTGGCCTGCGCGAAACTGGGCCCCAAGTAGATTCGATCCTCTTTCTTGGTTCCAAGGACCCATTTTGACTTTCTCCTCAAAACTGTCCGAGCTCGAGGCGTCTTCATTCCAGATTACTGTTATCTTGATCCCTGCTGAGTGGTCCGTCACAATTTTCTTGACCGACTTTGAGATGAGTCTTGATACTCAAAGTGGGCTGCCTCTTCTCGCTAACAGTGTCAGTGGAGCGTGCTATCCCACGGGTGTCAGCCCTTACATTCGAGAGAGGTTGTACTTGCCAACCTTCCGAGGGCCTCCTGGCTTGGAACGCGGCGAGGGTCAGGAGCTCGCCGGAGCGAGAGACAACAAGCACAAGCAATACGATATATCGAGAAAACAGCCACTTCATCCAACTCGCGCAATCAAGTGCAAGCAGTGGCCCCCCTGAGCTTCGCACCGAAGTGGGAGTACTAACCAGGGCTGAAACTGAACGGTGTTTCTCATTTTCGTTATGTTTGCGTTTTCCCTCGTTTTGTCTTCAATCCGCCTTTAACGCAAAACGAAATCGAAACGAAAACGGCCCCCGAAATCGCAAAAACACCGTTTAGGTCCACCCCTGGTCACCCCACGGCTAGATGCCTGCTTTAGCCAGACAGGCTACTGACGGAGAGAAACGCAAGGCCACGTGCCGGCGGATGTCTCATAGGGCCCCCGGACCACGCAGCAGAAAACGACTTCACACCATGAGGTCCGCAGGGGGAAGGGAAGGGGGGAATGGGATGGCGGGAGCGGACGAGTCATGGGAGAAAGGAATGGGGGGGGAGAGAGAGAGGCAGAGGGGACGGACTCCTCATTCCTCCCCTTCCTCCTCCTCCTCCTCCTCCTCCTCCTCCTCCTCCTCGGTGGCCTTTGCCCTGTCGCACGACGCTGCTGCTGGGGAAGCAGAACTCCTGGTACTGCGTCACGCTGACGGACTCCACGCCGTCCTGCTCACAGGCCGTCATCCTCCTGCCCCTTCTTCCCCGCGTCTTTCCTCCGTCTCCTCCTCCTCCTCCTCCTCCTCCTCCTCACCCTGATCCTCCGCACTGCAGTTCCTCCTCCTCCTCCTCCTCCTCCTCCTGTTCCTCCTCGGCGCCTTCCCCCCTACCTTTCCACTTTATTTCTCCCTCGTCCTCCTGGTCCTCCTCCTCCTCCCTCCCTCCCTCTTTCCTTCCTCCCTCCCTTCCCTTCCATTCCTCTCCTCCTCCTCTCCTCCTCCTCCTCCGCCTCCTCCTCCCCTCCTCCTCCCTTCCTCCTCCTCTCCTCATCCTCCCCTCCCTTTCCCGTCATCCTCCCCCGCCTGCCCATCACATGTTTCCCCCCTTCCCGCCGCCTCCTCCCTCCATCCCCTCCTCTTCCCTTCATCGCCCCTCGCTCTTCTTCTCCCCCCCCTCCTCTCAAGCAGACGCCCAAACAGATTACGGACCCGTGGAACTGGCACGTTGGCGCTGGGGTGCGGGTGCCGCCCGATCTGGCAGCGGCGACGGTGCGCGCCAGCTCCTCTGTGGCAGTGGGACCCGTCGCTAACTCACGCGCCTTAAGAACATGTGAACGTTTTCTCAGTCGGCGTCTCGACATTGGGCGGAAGGGGGGGGAGCGATGGTAGGGGGCTCCGGACCTCTGCTTAAGACGACCGTTTGCTACAGTGCGCCCCATGGGGGAGACTCCTACACCACAGAGGGGTGGGGGGGAGCGGGGGGAGCGAGGGCCCGCGCCGATCGGCAAAATAATGAGCAAGAGAACGATTACCATGTTTGCGACCTCTCGATGCTCCTGCTTCGACGACGATCTCCCTCCTCCCCCTCGGGGGCGTCCAGGAGGGGGGGCTCGCGCATTGTGGCCCGAGGCACGTGCGCGGCCCGCGAGGGGGCGCGCTGGAGTGGGAGGAGGGGCCGTGCAGGCCGAGGAGACACCGTGGCCTGGGCCATGCTGCTCCACTGCTCCTTCTCTCGTCCTTTCCTCGCCCCTCCTCGTCCTTACCGCCCGCCCTTCTCCTCCTCCCTCCTCCTCCTCCTACTCCTCCTCCTCCTCCTCCTCCTCCTCCTCCTCCTCCTCTCCTCCTCCCCCCCCCCTCCGCGCTCTCCTCCTCTTCCTCCCCATCCCCACTCTCTCCTCCTCCTCCTCCTCCTCCTCCTCCTCCTCCTCCTCCTCCTCCTCCTCCTCCTCCTCCTCCTCCTCCTGCGGTCCGTCACCGCACCCGCCCAGGGACCTCGGAGGCCCAAATAGGCCCCTGATCGCCCCCCTTCTGGCCGCCCTCCTCCCCTCCCCCCTCTCTCCACGACGACTTCCGAGAGGCGTCCGGGATGAACATCGTGACGTACGTCTGCGGCACCCTGGCCGGCGTACTGTGAGCGTGCGCCTGCTGACCAGGGGGGGCGGGCGAGACGGGCCCCGAACCCTTGCCGCCACTCCTCCCCCTCCCACCTCCACGCCCCGAGCACCTGCGCGCGCGGACGTACGGCACACGTTAAAGGGAAATTAGGACACACAAATAAATACACGCAAATAAAATTATTCCCCATATTTTCTCATATTTTCTGGGTTTTTGTCTTCCCCCCCAATTCCCATATTTTCCTATATTTTCTTGGGGACCGACGATTAATTGTGTCTGTGTGTTTTTGTTCCCTCCTGACACGTGCGCGTGGCTGTGTCTGGAGGGCGAGCGCACGTCGTGCACCCCTTCAAGCTTGCCGGTTGGAGCTTCGAGCGCAGCGTGTGCAGTGCGCGGGCATCGGAGGCTTCCAGGATCGTCAGTCCTCCCCCTCCCACCTTCGGAAAATCAGTCGATAGAGGGGGCTACAAGCGAACCCTACCCCTACCCCCCACGATTTCTGAGGGGGAGGGTGGGGTCCACTTCGTTCGGGAGCTCCCGAGCGAAGTGACCTCCACCCTCCCCCTCAGCTCCCCCTCAGAAATCGTGCGGGCTAAGGGTACGTAGGGTTCGCATGTGGCCCCCTAGTCGAGAGGGGGTGTGGGGGGGGGGGAGGATGAGGGCAGACTCGCTCAACATCGGCCCCCAGACCCCTCCTGGGGTCCCTCCGGGTGGTCCGTCTTCCGCCCCCCACCGATGCCCAGCGGCCCCGTGGCCCCCAACAAACGGCCCCCGGGCGACGCAGCCGAAGGCCGTGGGCCACCTCTTGAGCAGGGACAGACCGTCCCGGCATTCCTATAGTCCTACCACGACATGTTCTTAGAACCCTAAAATGCTCTAAGAACAAGAACAACGTTCTAAGAACATTAGCCCGATGTGTCAAAACAAGACAGTCCCAGCCAGAAATGTTCTCAGAACATTTCGTGGAAACCACAGAAAGGTTCTCCGAACACTGTTTGGTAGGGCTATAAGCACGCCGGGACGCTTCGCCGCTGCTTGAACCTCGGCGCCCCGGCAGCCGGCTCCCGCCCGTCCAATTCGCCACGTGGAGCTCGGTGCGCTCGCGCGTGCAGCGTGCCCGCTCGGGGGCCTCCTCCAGGGTTCGGCCACGTCGCCGGGAGCCTCCCCGGTAGCCCCAGACGAACCAGAGCGTCCAAACACCCTCGGGAGCGGCCAAGAGGGGGGTGTCCAAGAGGGGGGGGTGCAAATCATGACCGGCGGCATGTGCGCGGCCCAGCGGGGGGCCAGGGACGTATTGGAATAAGAAGAGGCGCCATGAAATCTGAGGAAATATCATCCCGCCAGGATCCCACGGGGCGCGAGCCAGGTCAGATGTCGGTCGGGGTGCCTGCCAGATGCTCTCGGAACTGGGAGAAGAACGCGACGGCAGAGGCAACGACGCTCGGATCTCCGAACAGGTAATTACGTCCGTGCCGCAGGTTCTTCCTCGATTGCCCATCGGTCGGAAGAAGTAGGTAGAAGCATGAATTAGGAAGGTGCTTAACGTAGATTGGACTCTGGGAATCCTCCTCCTCCTCCTCTTCCTCTTTCTTCCCATCCTTCTTCTCCTCCTACTCCGCCTGCTCCTCATCCTCCTCCTACATCTCCTCCTCCTCCCCCTCGATCCTCCTCCTCCTCCTCCTCCTCCTCCTCCTCCTCCTCCTCCTCTTCCTCCTCTCCCCTCGATCCTCCTCCTCCTCCTCCTCCTCCTCCTCCTCCTCCTCCTCCTCCTCCTCATCCCCCCTCGATCCTCATCCTTCTCCACGGTCCTCGCTCGTCCTCCTTCTCTTCCTCTTCGATTCTGCCCTTCGATCTTCGATCCTAGATGCTCACACGGGGGAGATCCTCATGCCCTCGATCCTCCAGCCCTCGATCCTCCTGCCTTCGATCCGTTCCTCCTGCCCTTGACCCTCCTCTATAAAATCAACAAGGGGGTTCTTCTCAGTGGTGCTGCTGTGCAATGGGCTCGCAAAAGCACGGTCGCGAGACTCGACTCGTCCGCTGTGGGTGGCGCCTCTCGCCGCTGGGCCACTCTGGCCACGCGGTGGCGAAAAGGGCGAGTGGCGCGCAGCCAGGATCATGTTTGCGCCAGGCTTGGCTGGCGGATGAGGAGGAATGGAGGGGATGGGAGGAGGGGGAGGAGGAGGAGGAGGAGGAGGAGGAGGAGGAGGAGGAGGGAGGAGGAGGAGGGGGAGGAAAAGGAGGAGGAGGAGGAGAAGGAGGGAAGAGGAGTAGGGAGGGGAGGGGAGGGGAGGGGGCAAAAAGAGGAAGGGGAAGGGGAGTCGAAGGAGCGGCATCAGGGCGGATGGGGTGAGAGGGGGAGTGAAACGGAGGGGAAGAGGAGCGCCTCTTCCTCTCCTCCTCCTCCTCCTCCCTTTCCTCATTCCTCCTCTCTTCCTCTCTCCTCCAGCTCCTCCTCCTCTTCCTCCCTTCCTCCTCCTCCTCCTCCTCCTCCTCCTCCTCCTCCTCCTCCTCCTCTAGAATCCTCAAATTCCTCCTCCTCCTCCTCCTCCTCCTCTTCCTCCTCCGCCTCATTCCTCCTCATCCCTCGACCCACGGACTCCCCGCCAGGCCTTCACGAACCGGAAGTGCAGGTCGGCGTTGCTCCCCCTGCGCAGGTTCACCGTCCCGATCTGGCGCCCGGCGCCCGAGTTCACGTTTCTGGACGAGCCCGCGGTGCCCCTCCCAGGGGCCTTCGAGCCCGTGGGGGCCGACGCCGAGCGCGTCGGTCTCTCCTCGCCTCTGGTTCCTCCTCCGCCTCTTCTTCCTCCTCCTCCTCCTCCTCCTCCTCCTCCTCCTCCTCCTCCTCCTCCTCTTCCATTCCCTGTCCGTGTAAAAAACTTCTCCCTGTCGCACCCCGACGCCAGGTATTAGGGCGGGCCGGGCGTTGCCCCCCTCACCATTTACGACCCTGAAGCTTTACACAGTGGCAACAGCTTCGCACATGGAAGGCGGGTTGTTTTCAACATGTGGCTCTCGCCTGAGCGCCGCGCGCATTCGTTTTAAGCATTTGCAAGAGCTTCACGGATTGAGGGCGGGTGGTTTTGAAAATGTGGCTCTCGACACAGCGCCGCGCGCATTTGCTTTTTACAAATTAGCAAGAGCTTCACGGATTGAGGGCGGTTCCGTTTCAGACTGTGGCTGTCGCCTTGGCGCCGCGGACATTCGTTTGCTGAACATGTTCCCAGGGTTCCACGGATTCCCATGATCAACGTTCCAGAACGTGCGCTTTGGAAGGACTCAAGATGATGAGGGTGCAACAATTACGTTGATTCGCGGTGTTGAAGTCCCAGGAATGGCGTTCTGGCACGCTTCAGGATCGTCAGGACGCAACTGTCAGGTTGATCTGTGGCGTTGGAATCCTGCCAACGTTTTGGTATGATTCAGGCTCTCCAAGCGGTTGTCTTCCAACGAATCAGTTCCCTCAGTGGAAATGAACCGTTGTGGGGACCTATGAAGAGGGAGCTTGGAGGAGGGCTTTTTCCAACATTGTTGGTGACTCTTGAAATTACACTGGTCCTCCTCCTCCTCCTCCTCCTCCTCGTCCTCGCTCCTCCTCTTCCTGCTCCTCCTCCGCCTCCTCCTCCAGATCGTGCCTTCCCCTCCTCCGCCTCCTCCTCCTCCTACTCCTCCTCTACTCCTCCCCCTCCTACTCATGAATTCGCTTCCTCAAAACATAACTCCTCCCTGTCGCACCCCGAGGCGGATCGAAAGGGCGGGCCGGTCGTTTCGTTTCGCCTGAGACTTCCTCACGATTTCTGACCCTGAAGCTTAAACATTCACACCAGTTTCACAGATGGAGGGCAAGTGGTCTTCAACATGTGGCTCTCGCATTGGCGCCACGCTCATTCTGAAACAAAAGTACCCATGTCACGGATTGCGGGCGGGCCGTTTTCAAAATGTGGCTCTCGCCTTCGCGCCGCGCACCTTAGTTTTACCAGAACATTGTAATAGTTTGACGGATTGAGGGCGGGTGGTTTTCAACATGTGGCTCTCGCCTTAACGCCGCGCGCACTTGTCTTAAATAATCGCAAGAGTTTCACGGATTCCGTCAGAAACTGCGGTCTGGAAGGTCTCAGGATTGATTGTGAGAGCTTACCTGTTCAGTTGATTCGCTGATTTGAATCCCACGGAGTTGACCTGGCACGATTCTGGGTCGCCATGACGCATCAGTCATGTTGATTCGTGGCGTGGGGATCCTGAGAAAGGTGTTTTGGCACGCTTCAGGCTTCAAACGGTTGTCTCCCAACGAGGCAGTTCCCTGGGTAAAAATGAACATTTGTAGGGGCCTATGAAGAGGAAGCTTCGACGAAGGTGAATTCCACTCTCGTTGATGAGTCTTGAGTTTGCACTGCGCTGGTCCTCCTCTTCCTCCTCTTCCTCCTCTTCCTCCTCCTCCTCCTCCTCCTCCTCCTCCTCCTCCTCCTCCTCCTCCTCCTCCTCCTCCTCCTCCTCCTCCTCTCTCCATCCTCACCATCCCTCCTCCTCATCCGCCTCCTCCGCCTCCTTCTCCTCTTCTTCTCTTCTCTTCCTTCTGATCCTTCTCCTCCTCCTCCCGACCGTGCCTTCCCCTCCCTCCACCCCCCCGGGCTCCACAGGGTCTGAAGCCCAGGGAGGCTGGCGCCATGCGGGTCGGTCTCTCAATTCCTCCTCCTCCTCCTCCTCCTCCTCCTCCCCTCCTCCTTCCCCTCTTCCTTCTCCTCCTCCTCGTTCCTTCGCCTCCTCCTCCTCCTCCTCCTCCTCGTCCTCCTCCTCCTGATCGTTGGAAAATCGTCAGATTTTGAGCGGGGCTCGTAGCTACAATCCTCCTCCTCCTTCTCCTCCTCCTCCTCCTCCTCCTCCTGCCCCTCCTCCTCTCCTCCGTAGCCATTTTGGCTCAAGTCCGTAGCGGGAGGTTCAGCGACTTGAGGGTGGCAAGGGGGAGGTGCGCCCCCACCTGCGATCCCTGGGCCTTCGTCCAGGCTGTTTTCACACACGGCCTCACGGCCACTCCGCGATTGCACGACATCCTTCCGTTCTGGGTGAGCTCCTGGAGGAGCCCATGGGCAAGGATGCCGCCAAAGGCTACCTTTCTTGCCCAAGCTGCCGATATCGCTGGAACTGGAAGTCGCGAGAACATTGTTTCTCCTGTGGCAATGCGCTGGTCCCCTCGCCGCCGCCGCCGTGGCGCCAGGCCAAAGGAGTTTGGTCGCCTGGAGGTGAGGATGGTGGCCAACATGGGCCCGCGCACCCGCCAGGGACCTGGGCACCCAGCCGCCTTGAGGCACCGAAGGCCTCGACGCCACCACAGCGTGGGACGGCCCCGCAACCGACAGTGGCTGAGATCCTCAAGCAGCTCCAGCAGCATGTCAAGGCGGACGCAGGTGAGCAGGAGCTGCAGGCCTTGGTCAGGGTGGTGGCTCCGCCCGCGCCTGCGCAGCCAGCCCGCCAGCCGCTGTTGGAGGAGACCATCAGTGCGAAGGGAGTGGCGTGCAGGAGGGCGGAGAAGGCATTGGAGCACGCGGTCCACCAGGAGGATGAAGCGCGGCGCTGGCTGGCGGAGTGCAGCCAGAGGACCCAGGAGGCGGCAGTATGGGCAGTGCATGCCAAGACTGCCTGGCAAGAGGAGCTCAAGGCCGAGCTGCAGAAGGCCCGCGGCTCGACGCCTGGTGCGGGGCCTCCGCCCGACGCGGTGCATATGCCGACGGGCTCCCAGATCAACCTGTCGCAGCTGCTGGGGGAAGAGAGTGGCTTCGAAGGCGCGGAGATCGTGGACGGCGAGGCCCTCGACCTCAGCGAGCTCGAGATTGAGGACGAGGACAGACATCGGCGGCTTGCCCTCAACAGCAACATGGCGGCGGAGATCCAGAAGGCGATTGTGGCCGCCATCGGGCCCAGCGCCGACAACATTCAGCGGCTCAGAGAGGAGGCCAGCGCGGAAACGCATGTCGGTCAAGCAAGCCCGCCAGTCCGACCGTGGCGATGGCACCAGTGCCGCCGCCGCCGCCCAGCCTGGAACGCCACCCGCAGCGGCGCCTGGGGCTCCTCCTGCGGCTGGTGCTGCCGCTTCTGGTGCTGAGCATGCAGTGCCTGAGTCGGCGGCCACGACACCCACGGGGGGGGCCGACGCTCCCAGCACCCAGGAACTGCAAGCTGCGGTCGATGCGGCCAGAGCCAACCTGGCCGAGGGCAGTGGGTCGGGCCTTTAGGGCTCAACAGCGGTCAGGCAGGTGGCGCGCGGATTTTTCGGGGCTGGCGGTCCCTGGGGAGCCCGTGGAAGGGCAGACCCTAAAGGCCGGCAGCGGGTCCTGGATCGAGGCCGCAGACGTGCGGGTGGTCGATGCCTTCGATCGGATCCAGCCTCCACCTTGGGCTGCAGACGTGCAGGTGGTCGAAGCCCCAAGCTGGAGCGGCCGTGCCCCCTCACCGCATGCGTGGCGGTGGCGCGCTGGTTTTTCGGAGCTGGCGGCCCCTGGGGAGCCCGTGGGAGGGCAGACCCTAAAGGCAGGCAGCGGGTCTTTGATCGATGCCGCAGACGTGCGGGTGGTCGATGCCTTCGATCGGATCCAGCCTCCACCTTGGGCTGCAGACGCGCAGGTGGTTGATGCCCCAAGTTGGAGCGGCCTTGCCCCCACGCCGCATGCGAGGCGGTGGCGCGCTGGTGTTTCAGGGCTCGCGGCCCCTGGGGAGCCCGTGGGAGGGCAGACCCTAAAGGCAGGCAGCGGGTCTTGGATCGATGCCGCAGACGCGCGGGTGGTCGATGCCTTTGAGCAGACTCAGCCTCCACCCTGGGCTGCAGACGGGCAGGCGGTCGATGCCCCAGCGTGGAGCGGCCTTGCCCCCTCACAGCAGTGGAGGCGGCGGCGCGCAGGAGGTTCGGGGCTGGTGGTCCCTGGGGAGCCCGCTGGAGGGCATACCCTAAAGAACGGCAGCGGGTCTTGGATCGATGCCGCACACGTGCGGGTGGTCGAAGCTTTCGATCAGACCCAGCCTCCTTCCTGGGCTGCAGACGTGCAGATGGTCGATGCCCCAGGTCGGAGCGGCCCGTCCACCCACATCTCAGAGATGGGAATTCCAGCTGGTCAGCGACAACAGCAAGTCGTGGTCTTCGGCTCAGAGTCACGTGGTCAAGGTCAAGGTGCACCATTCCTTCCCGATCCTTTTTGTGTCAGTGTACGGCCACACCACGCTTGGGCTCTCAGGCGCCAATTTCACGTTTTTAGAGGAGCTCTGTGAAGTGGTGGCCTCGGCGGGCGGCCCGCTTGCTCCAGGTGGAGACTGGAACGTTAATGCGGAGGGCTGATTGCATCCCAATGGGCAGATCACCTTGGGGCGACAGTGGTCAGGCCCCCAGGAGCGACGTGCCACAGTAAGTGTTGCGACCTTTGTGTTGTCAGCCGCTGTCTAGAATCTCATGTTAAAGAGTGCAGTCAGCAGCCGGACACGCCAGTTGGGCCGCATTCTGCAGTTGCGCTCCAACTCAAGCATGCGGCTGGACAGGCCAAAGCTTGGCAGCGCGTGGTGCCTCGCAGTTTCCCGCTACCCAGGAATGAAGAGGAGAAGGCCCGCATGCAGTGGGACCCCAGCCACCAGCCGCCCCTATTTGATTGGGCTTCGCTCTTGCCCCACGCAACGATGGAGCAGTGTTTCGACGCTGCGGAATCGGCTCTCGGCCGCCTTTATGGGCTAGATGACAAGCAGCT